GCAGCTATCACCAACAGCTGGACTCAAGATGAATGCATCAGTACTCGCTGCAGCAACACCATTACATGTGTTTTCTTCTATAGCTTTTGCCAACAGTGGCTTATAAAATGCTTCCAGCATCTGTTTCATTATTTTTATCTCGTCTTGTTGGTGTGGTTCAGCGGTGGGAGGATGTGAATGATCCTGACTGGCTTTAATCAGGGTTAGGAAAGTGTCTCATTACTCACAGAGCCATTTGCCAGAGATATGCTACATTCACACATCGGATTGAGCTTGTGAAGCAGTACTGCTGTTCTTCATATTTATAATGAGATGTGCTTAAGCAAGCTTGATTTCATTATATTTCATAATTACAGTTATTTATTTGAACAATATCTTAAAATATTTAATCACCACCAGTGATATTGTAGCATTATGTATATACTATTATAGTATTTATTAATATTTTGAATTAGATTTTGTTTTTATATTTGCAGTTTTCATTTTAATTTTAGTTTTGGTAATTTTGTTATATGCTTGTCATTTTTTTTTTCATTTTTAAAATATTTTTAATGCACATATTCCTAGCTTTAATTAATTAAAATTTTATTTCAGTTTTAGTAATTTTATAACTTAAACCAAAATTTATTTTATTTTGGTTAGTTGCAACATTTCTAGTTTTTCATCTAATATTTTATAATTTAATTTAATTTTTCATTTTTAAAATATTTTTAATGCACATATTCCTAGCTTTAATTAATTAAAATTTTATTTCAGTTTTAGTAATTTTATAACTTAAACCAAAATTTATTTTATTTTGGTTAGTTGCAACATTTTTATAATTTAATTTAATTTAATTTAATTTAATTTAATTTAATTTAATTTAATTTAATTTATGAAAATTATTTTTAATAATTTTAGTTAATAACAACACTGAACGCCTAGTTTTAATCTAGTTATCTAGTTTATAAAAGTGATGTAACTTTTGTGCAACATTTTGGTGAAATTTTCCTTTCATAACTATTTATTTTAATTATTAATTCACAAAATGTAGAAAGAAATCGAATGGGCCAACAACCTGTCACCTCATTTTGGAGTGAGACAAATGAGAAAACACTTCTGCTTGTTCTCTAAATTATCCCCACTCTCTGTAAGCTATCCCTTCATTTCTCACTGTCCTAAATGGTCTTTTCCCAGGCTCTGATCCCATATTTGTTTTCTTGCCCATTATGTGGTGGTGCTGTACCCTAGCTGGCTGGAATTCCTGGCCCATGTCATCAGCGGTTCCTCAAAAAGGGTTTATTTACAGCCACTGCGCTTTATGTCGTCGGAAGGAAACACTTAGTTCTGATGTCTTTTATTAAGTGTGTTTGAATCCAGCTGTTTCGCTGGTGCTGTATGTTGAACAATGTGCCTTATCTTCAGGAGTTTGTGTTTTGTCGGGGCGCACATTGCTGGGTCTCCTCAGGGTGGTTTGAAAAGATTAAAGAGATTCGGTATATTGGGAATTAAAACCAACACACTCTCTTAGGTGTAAATCTGAAAATTCTCTGTCTTATAAGGAACTTTTTGGAAAAGTAGACCACATAGCTGTCTGTGATTGCTCAGTGTATGCGTGCACCTACTCTGTCAGCTTTGAGGTGTGTACTGAGACCTTTTATATTGTATGTATGTTGTATATTGTCAGATGAGGATCTAGATCCCCTGAGGCAAACAATAGCAGCCGAGACACACCTGTTTATTGATATTTGATACAAGAAATGATGCGAGTGTTAAACAGCTGAGCGGTGTCTTTGTGTGCTTGCTGTCCGCTCTCTTTATTCTTTTGACTTCTTTTTCTTCCTCTTTTTTCAGCTTTTTTGGCATGGTAAATAATTCTACATTGCACTGTACAAAAACAGTGCAAAGCAATGTACATAAATGGAGGAAAATAACTTGAGATACACATACAAAATGCATGTTATTTATTTATTTAGTACTGTCCTGAATAAGATATTTTACATAATATATTTACATATAGGCCACAAGGCAAAATAATAGGTGAGATTATAAAAATGACCGGTCAAAAGTTTAGATACACTTGATTCTTAATATTGTGTGTTGTTACCTGATGATCCACAACTTTTTTTATTCTTCTTGGTGATGGTTGTTCATGAGTCTCTTGTTTGTCCTGGACAGATAAAGAGCCCACTGTTCTTCAGAAAAATCATCTACGTCCTGCAAATTCTTTGGTTTTCCAGCATCTTTTTCATATTTGAACCCTTTCTAGCAGAGACTGTATGATTTTGAGATCCAAATTTCCACAGTGATGACAACTGAGGGACTCTTACAACTATTCAAAACTATTACAAAAGGTTCACACATTAGCTGATGCGCAATTATTAATTCATAATATTTTGCACACACACACACATATATATAGATAGATAGATATGTGCAAAATATTACGAATTAATAAGGAAGAGAAATATTAATACTGTACTTTGCTTTTTTCTTTGACTTTTATCATTCTCTTATTCTCTCTTTCTATACTTTCCTAAGAACAAATATCAAAAACATTGCCAAATACTTTCTCCCTGTCTCTTTCTGTTGGGCTTGGCGTTGATGCAGAGTGCACATAAATGTCTGGATGCATTCCGCTTTAAGCATCTAGAGCGCCTAGGAACCCAAAAACATTAAACCCTGTTCTTGAGAGAGGGCCACAGTGAGCGTAACACACTGTCCTCACCAAATGTATGAGAAAATCTCAAAAGTAATATATCAAAGAGCAGTGAAGAATTTGATCTGGAACTCGTTTGATTATAGCGAGGCAAAAATGAGAGAGAAAATCAGAAAGTGACCTGGCAGTATTATTTGATTGGAGATATTGGATTACTGCCAGACCGCTGCGCACATTGCAGCGTTTAGTGCAGACAGCTCTGCTGGGGGTTGAAGCAAAGTGTAGTCGGATTCAGCCAGTGTCCCGATTAAGTTTCATCTGTGTGTAGTGTTTTATTTAAACTGACCTCATTCCACAGATCCAGGGTTAAATGACATCAGCCTTTGGCATTCAGTCAGTGGCTTAGTAGTGCCCATCTTGATTCATATTCCACGCTGCAGTCCAGAGTCTGTTGACTGTAGCAGAGCAGTGTAGTGAAAGATTTGGGTAAAGGTTATGAGTAAAAAGTGCATGTAACACTTTCTATGAATAATTGGGTAAATAGGGCTTGAAACATTTATTTATTTTTTGCTATTTCTATTAGGATTTCACCATTACCCATATTTGGGACTGCATATTATATATTTTTAAACAAAGTTTAATACCTTAATTTGTGTTAGATTTGTCTTTTTAATTGTAATTATTGTAATTAACAATATATTTAATTAATGTAATTAAATGATCCGTTTATTTTATTATTTAATTGTTTTCTAATAATTTTTTTTTATTTTAATTTTATATTAGATACATAACATTCATAGGTTATCTCGCAAAAGAACAAGGGATTTGTGTCTTTATTACATTGTAATTGGATAGTAATGGGACACGAATATGTACCTTATGTGAAAGTATAAACTTTGAGTGAATAAAGGATCATAGTCTACCTATGTAATTGTTTTAGTAGGCCATAATGCCCGTGTCGAGAGAGTTTGTCCTTGCTGTTTATTTGTGCACACCTAAACCTGTTTATTTGTGCACACCTAAACCTGTGAAAGCTATCAACACAGCAGGCGAACGGAACAAACAGTGTGTTGCGAATTTCTCTGAATAAACAAATAATGGCATGATGGTGGCTCAAATACAACAAACTAGGGAGGACATATGAAAAATAAACACAGGTGTTGTCATTATTTCAGGCAAGGTAGAATAGGGACAGGATGTTAGCAATGTATCCTAAGCTCATATTTGACCTGAAAACATTTTTTTTTTCTAGTGTACTGTATGTTGACGTGACCACTCCCCCTTCAGTTCACCCTGAACTTCACTGAGATTCTGATCTTCACCCTAAACCAGGGCTGTCCAAACTCGGTCCTGGAGGGCCGGTGTCCTGCAGAGTTTAGCTCCAACTTGCCTCAACACACCTGACTGGAAGTTTCTATGGCTGTGTCCGAAATCGCCCCCTATACCCTTAAATAGGGCACTATTTGAGGGAACAGCCATTTTTAGTGGTGTCCGAAACCATAGTGGACGTTCTCGAGTGCACTCATTCAATCCCACAATGCACTGCAAAAACGAGTGTACAACTGGTGCACGCTCAACGGCTAGAGAATGCCCAAATTGCCCATAATGCACCGTGAGAGTCACGCGCCGAATGAATTCCCGCATCTCGCCAGAAGATGGCGCCCGCAGCTGATTAATCAATCCGTTCATTTTTACAAAGCGCTCATCCATGGCGTACAGCATAATGTACAACACGGGTATAAATTCATTGTAAATTGATTATTAAATTGTTTGATTTGGGTTTATACATAATTTCCGTGACAGAGTTTAAGATAAATCCTTTAATCTTACTACTGGAGCTGCTAGTTTGCTAGTTTCAAATGATTAATAAACAGCAAGCACAAACTATGCAAAAGCGGCATTCCTTCCGGTGCACTCAGTGTCCGAATTCACTACTCGTTTTCATTCACTCCTTCTAGTGAACTGAATTAGTGACCTAATGTAGGGAATAGTGAATGAGGGTATAGGGGGCGATTTCGGACACAGCCTATGCCTAGTAAGAGCTTGATTAGCTGGTTCAGGTGTGTTTAATTAGGGTTGGAGCTAAACTCTGCAGGACACCGGCCCTCCAGGACCGAGTTTGGACAGCCCTGCCCTAAACTAATATATGTTCACAGTAGCACCACAAGAGTAATAAAAACCAACCTGAGAATGTTTAATGGTTTCCTAAGCCAAGCATTGAAACTCTCAGATCTAAAATAATCTCAAAAACAGTATGGTTTTCTGCTCGTTGTCTTTTTATGATTCCCAGTATCTCTACAAAAGGTGCTTCAGTGCTCATGTGTGGAATAATACATTTAAATCTTTCTCTTTCTCATTGCAGATAGTAAAGCTATAGTGGACGGCAACTTAAAACTGATCCTGGGGCTCATATGGACCCTTATCCTGCACTACTCCATTTCCATGCCCATGTGGGAGGATGAGGACGATGAAGATGCCAGGAAGCTGACACCCAAACAGCGCCTTCTGGGCTGGATCCAGAACAAGGTCCCCCAGCTGACCATCAACAACTTCCACAGGGACTGGAGAGATGGCAAAGCCCTCGGTGCCCTGGTGGATAATTGCGCACCTGGTGAGCAGAATTCTGTGGTTTATGATCGCTTGGCGACAAATGTGTCATGGTACATTAATCACATGTGGTCTTACATGGAAAACTTTTCATTAGCTTCATTAAGTAGATTCAGGTATCAGTAACACTCATCAGGGAGATGTCAAGAGTCATGCAGAATCCGCGTTGCCCTAGGAGTTGGGAAGCTGGTTTGATAATTACAGCATATGATCTCACTGTGGAAAGAACAAGAGAAGTGGAGTACAATTGGTGACCTCAAAACCAGTGATCACTGCTTTCCAAAACATAATTCATGAATCAAATACCTCTGGATAGGTTTGGACTTACACTAGTAGAAATCCTGAATCCCATGCAGTTCAGAGAGGGTTTAATGGATGGGTCAAGTCCATTTGGAAGTGTGCATGTCTGTCCTTGTCAACTACATAATCAAAGCAGCCATTCTGGCATTGTGAATATTTTCAGGACTCAGGACTTGGCCACATATCCTTCGATTTGTCTTTCGTTAAAACATTTATGAATCACATTAGCATGTGTTGAAATGTTTCCTTCTTCTGACAAGACATTTTGAGGTGTGTTCTTAAAGAGTTCAACATGTTTCACAAGCACAAACAGCAGTTTCATTGTCTTTTGTCAACTTTAGTAAAGAGAGCAGGTGTAGATGTGGTGGTGGGTGAAAGGCAGCTGTACAGTCATTTAAGGGTCCATTTCACACCCAAACACAATGGGCCACAACTAGATGTGCTGCTTTAACATTCAATATCATTGTAAGTGTTGAACTGGGATTTGACTGGTGTCAAAAACAGCTTGTAATACAGAGATATTTAGATTGATTCATCAGTAGAAGTGGTTTAGGTAGTGAGTGAAAGGGCTGCTTACTGAAAGTTTGAGGGTTCGAGTCCAGCAAGGAATCAGATGAGATGACTAGATCAGATGACTTCACCGCTGTATTTTTCCTCCTATGCTGACAAACTGAAGGACACTGCTATAAAACACAACCATTGTCTTCAAATTAAAAAGGTATGGCTGATATTGTGACCCCGAGGAGAAGCAATGCGAGAGGTGAAAGATACATCATCTTTGCAAGTTTCAGGTGTTGAGTTGAGTTTGTTGGCTCTGCTAGCTGCTAATGAGCCCCTGGTCTGGGCTGTAACTGAATGGAAAGTGTCAGAGGCTAAGACAGCAAACATGCTTAAGTGAAAACACATGCTTCTATATGCATTTCCTGCCAACATGCACTTCATTATATTTTTCCCCGTGTGCATGTGTGGAAAAGCATCTCTTAGCATTAATGATGCCAGAAAAAAGTTAGATTAAGTATTTTTTTAGTATTTCAGCGCTTATGTGTTTATCACACTATATTGAAAACCCTTATATTTCATTTTTTAATTATATTTTTTTATTAGCAAAAGTTTTAAACTTTATATTTTTTTAAAATATTCAGACTTGCACGGAAAGAATGATCAAATCACTGTAAATCTAATGTCAGTTATAATTGTATTGTAACATTTGCATGTCGAGTTATGATCAGTCTTTTTCAAATTATATATTTTTTTCTCATTTGATTTAGGTTATATGATTTATAAAAGGAAAGTGAACTGTATTCGATTCTCTAGTTATGTTAACTATGGTTTTCCTCCAAAAATAACTGCATACAGACTGTCTCACACTTTATTTACCTCCCCTGAAGTTTCCTCCATCTAATTTGTTTTCCGCTATTTTGGATCTGCAGGGTACTGTAAATAAATACCACTCTTGGCAAGTTTAAATGCATTAAAAACCTAAAATTAAAGGTTTATCAGTGTTAGCAGTAGCACGGGGCCTGTTACAGATACTCACTGTCCGACCGCAGGCCTGGAGATTCTTGGAAAACAATCCTACATCTGATATTAACGTTTTGGCAGTTGTTGAGGAGTCTTGTGGCTTCAAGGCTCTCTGGTTCCATTTGAACTAAACACCTCTTACTCTTTGAGTGTAATCCAGCATATAATAACAGTTTTAGTCCAGACGGCATTGGTGTGTGTTTCCTTCAGGGAAGCGTTCGGAGCTATGAGCTTGACCATGCTTATTAAAGATTGGAAAAAAAGGTGAAGTGATGGGAAACTGCTCATTTGAGAGCAGTCAAGTTGAACTAAAGAACATGGATTAATAGATCCCTGCTGTGGAACAGTGGGTCTGCAGCCCAAGATAAAGCTCAGATCTGGCTCTTCTCTGTTTATCTATAAAGCAATATGCAGGATAATTTTAAAGTAAGAGTGCATTTTAGTCCTATACAGTAGGAATTCTGATGTAGAACCTACATGATTCTCATGGTTTTAGCAAGAGTTGACTAACTGTTTGCATCAGTCTGCTAACTCTGCTGTCTTTTGTCTTCATCTAAGGCCTGTGTCCGGACTGGGAGACATGGGACCCGAGTCAGCCAGTGGAGAATGCAAGAGAAGCCATGCAACAAGCCGACGACTGGCTCGGTGTGCCTCAGGTAAGAAGCAATCACTTATATTTATTAGGACTCATGCTATTTAGCCTGATTGAGAATGTTTTCTTCTTTAGCAGAGCAGGACTGGCTGTTTTGTAGGCCAGTTCTGACTTTAAGAAGTAGCTCATAGCTGCTGAAATTATATTATGACCTCATTATTTTGAATGATCCTCTGAGTGAGTGTGTTTGTGTAAGAGAGAGTCAGAGAGGGTAAAAGAATATGGGGCGTTGTTCACACAGACTGTACAAATGAGAATTTCTGGCATATTAAACATTAACTGGTTAGATTTTGAAAGCTGAAAAGCAAAATATGTCAGTGCCACATTTCTAGGTGGTTTGAAATCTGATTAAAATCATATTTTAATTCAGATGTAGACTCAAAGCTCTCCTCTTTCTCTCGCGTTGACTTATTTGCACTAGGTTCAACTGTATTTTTTTATTTATAGTATTACTTCTTTTTAAACCATGTACTTGCTATCTAAATGCCTTAAATGTATGCATTTCTTAACTGGTTAGATTTTGAAAGCTGAAAAGCAAAATATGTCAGTGCCACATTTCTAGGTGGTTTGAAATCTGATTAAAATCATATTTTAATTCAGATGTAGACTCAAAGCTCTCCTCTTTCTCTCGCGTTGACTTATTTGCACTAGGTTCAACTGTATTTTTTTTATTTATAGTATTACTTCTTTTTAAACCATGTACTTGCTATCTAAATGCCTTAAATGTATGCATTTAATTTTTTAACATCATAATGCACAGTAGTTTCTATACATGAGAAATTAATACTTTTATTCTGCAAGGATGCCTTAAATTGATCAAAAGTAACAGTAAAGACTTTTAGAATGTTACAAAAGGAATGTTACATAAATGCTGTTCTTTTTTTCATCAGAGAATCCTAAAAAAGTATTACAGTTTTCACAAAAATATTAAACAACACAACTGTTTTCAACATTGATAAGAATAAGAAATATTTCTTGAGCACCAAATCTATAGCATAGAATGTATATTAGCATATTAGAATGATTTCGGAAGGATCATGTGCTGAAAATTCAGCTGTGACATTACAGAAATAAAATGCATTTTAAATATATTAAAATAGAAAAATTTTATTTTAAATTGTAAGAATGTTTCACAGTATTACTGTTTTTTAATGTATTTTTGATCAAATAAATGTAGCGTTGGTGAGCATAAGAGACTTAGACCCCAACACTTTTGAACAGTAGTATATAGGAGATATTTACTGCACTGTCAACAGCAGATCTATTTTTATTGCTTACCAAATGATAGTACAGACAGTCTGCCTTAGTGTAACTGCCATGCAGAAATCTTTTTCAACTTATCTTTAAAGAATACACTAGAACACAAATTTGTGTTTGAGTAATTGAGATAAATAGAGAGTCCACATCTATTGAGAGAAACAGTAGGTCATTGGATGCTTTGAGCATGTAGGCTATTGCTGCAGCAGGAGAGGTAGAGCTTTAAATTATGGGTTTTAATAACAAGGTGCATATTTCTTTTCCTGTCCCTGTTGTTCTCTCGTTCAATCTCTACTTCTGTCTTTCTGCTGTGTTAAATACCATTTAGAGCTATTTCTAGTTAGCTCTTAACCTTCCAGCCTAGCGTTAAATATAGCAGGACACTTAACCAGCAGGACATGAAAGACGGGACTGAGGGGAGAGGAGAGGCAGAAAACATTTTCCACAGCTTTAAAAACGTTAAATGTACTTCATCAGTTTTGTGCCGTAGACCATCACAGCATAGGGCTGTGTTTATATCTGACGATTGATTCTGGCAGTAACAGTGCTTGAAGAAAATGTCAAATGAAGTCAGTGAGACGTGGTTCTTTGTTTCAATCCTTCTCCAGAGGGCTATAGCAATGCACATTTTAGGTGTTTCACTGATGCAGCCATTACAGGTCAATGTTCCCCCTGCTACTCAAATAATGAGTTGTATCAGGTGTTTTTGATGAGGAAGACGTCCAAAATGTGTTACATGGGTTGCCCCAGGAGCTGGATTGAGAAATATTGCTTGAATGGCATCCAGAAATCACGACTGAGATCAGAGATCAACCAGTATGTAGCGTGTGTCTTCTGACCTCTAATTTTGCACTTTGTCCATCCAGGTGATTGCTCCAGAGGAGATTGTGGATCCTAACGTAGACGAGCACTCAGTGATGACCTACCTGTCTCAGTTCCCCAAAGCCAAACTCAAACCTGGTGCCCCACTGCGATCTAAAACCCTGCACCCCAAGAGAGCCAAGGCCTACGGCCCAGGTGAGACTGACAGATGAATTTGTTAATACTTCTGAATGACAGACAGCAATTATGAGAGAAAACATTTAGCCTACTCCACCTCAACTCAAACCTTTGCATCTTTCGGTAGGTATTGAGCCCAAAGGTAACGTTGTGTTGAGGCCAGCTGAGTTTGTGGTGGAGACTGTGGAGGCCGGGCTTGGAGAGGTGTTGGTGTACATTGAGGATCCAGAGGGCCACACAGAAGAGGTCATCTTCTAACTCATCAAACTTCTTTCATTGTAAAAATAAGTTAATCTTCTTTTATTCAACCTGTAATAATAATAATAATAATAATAATTCATGATTTAATTCTCATGATTTTTAAAATAAATAAAATAATTTAAAAAAATTATTATAAAAAATGTCATGGTAATTGATCTAATATGATTTAATAGTAACACATTTCAGTTTTTTTTGTTATTGAATGAGGTTAAGACACTTGAGCCTTATTAATAGGGCTGCAGGGATACACAAGAAAAACAACTGTTTTAACAACTACCTGGTGAATGTCTTACTAATATGTCCTTTTTCACAGGCCAGAGTAATTCCCAACAATGACAGGAACAGGAGCTACTCTGTGGTCTATGTCCCAAAAGTGGAGGGTCTGCATAAGGTAACAAAATAATAAACAATGCTGATGTTCAAGATTTATGAAAATCAAATTTTTTAATTCTACTTAGGTCTTGTTATCAGACATCATTTTGTAAGGTTTAACAAAAGGACCTTTAACTGTGACAGATGAAATGGAGTGATTGTAACTAAGGGATATTTCTTTTTTTCTTTAGGTGAAGGTGTTGTTTGCTGGACAGGACATTGACAGAAGCCCTTTCCTGGTAAATGTGTCTAAAGCACTGGGAGACCCGAACAAGGTGCAGGCCCGTGGGCCAGGTTTGGAACCGGTGGGCAATGTGGCCAATAAACCCACCTATTTTGACATCTACACAGCAGGTAATGTCAGGGAAATGTTGCTACTCGCTGTTTGCTGTGAGACTAGAGATTAGTTAAAGATCCTCGTGTATTTGTGACTCCTCAGGTGCAGGAGCTGGTGATGTCGGTGTGATCATTGTGGACTCTCAGGGCCGCAGAGACACAGTGGAGATCATTCTGGAAAACAAGGGCGACAGTGTTTTCCGCTGCACTTACTGCCCCATTCTGGAGGGCCCTCATACTATATATGTGACATTTGCTGGCCAGCAGATACCAAGAAGCCCTTTCAGTGTCCACATCTCAGAGGGTGAGACACATGTCCTCACTTTGTGGCTGATGATCTATCTTAATTCCTTGAAAAAATATGATACCTGATAAGTTAGAAGTCCTGCAGTCTTTTTATGGTCACATTATTGTTTAACACCAAAGCTCTTAATGCACCAAGAAAACAACAAGTGCTTTTATTTGCCTGAGCCTTCGACTTGTTGTTTTTTGCTGCATTAAAAGCATGCCACGTTCTTTCTAAAATGTCTTATGCCCCGGTTGAAAAGACTAGCATGGTTTTACTGGTAAATCTGGTTCGCTTACTGTTGAAGACCAGCACCCAAAACACAAGTTTCAGAATGCTGGTCTTTTCAGTTGTGGCATTTTGTGCCTAAAGAGCTTATTTTCCACTTGTAATGAGTTCAAAGTTGTTTGATTGACAGCATACTAATACTGGACAATTCCCAGAGAGACCTGCTTTCTGTGGCGCTGACTGAGACCAGGTTGTTTGGTTTTGAGCTCCGTTTGCTCACTGCTCCAGGGTTTCACCACCCTCCCGATGATGACGAAACGCTTTATTGTGTTTCCTCTCTCCTCTTTCGCCTGTGTGTGTCATTCTAGCTCCTCCGAGCGGCCGGCAGATCGGCTCCCCGGTTCACATAATCCCTCAGTCTATACGCACGCCGCCCTCAGAAAAGGCCAAGAAAATGCCTCCCCCAACACCACCCAAACCCAGGCGACCAAGTTAGTACGGGCCACCCGGGGGGCGTGGCAGATGCCTGCTCGAGCTTGGTCCCCTCTCTCCTGTCTCCTCTCCTCCCCTCACCTTGGATGTGTCCTCTCAGGCACACCACCTCTGGCTCGTTGGCATGCGCTGGCGCTTTGCCCTCTGGGGCAGCTAAATCAACAGGAAGCTCAGATAGAGACCGGAAATGATGGGATGAAAGTGTGTATGAGTAAAAGTGAGAGTGTGAATGAGAGTAAGAGGAGGCTTAGACAAGTGTTGTGAATGCTGCTGCTGGTCTTGTTTTAACCGATGCAGAAAAAGAGCCACCATTCAGTGGTGGGACTGGACGATCACTTAACAGATGCTCAGCACACCAGGACCACTTTTGATTGGATTCTGCTAATATTTATAATTTAATAATAATTCAGAATTTAACAAATTTAACCAAATCCCATAATTAATTAATTATTTTAAAAATATTAATGAAATAATTTAACAAAGTAACAAACTGGTTTAAATTAGGGCTGAAGATGTTAATCAATCAAGATTTTATTTTATTTTATTTATGTGTTTAATGTGTTAATATAACAGCCCTTGTTTAAACTATTCACTTTAACCTGAACTGACATTGCATCTATTTCACACCTACAATTTTTAAAGCCTTAAAAATTAAGATGCTAGAACCTTATTTAGCATCAGAGAGCCGATATCTGAGTGACCGTTTGGGTGTGTAATATAGTCATCTTCATCTTAGAGATCACCATCATTGTCATCATGATCGTCGTCATCATCTCGGCATGTTTGGTTTTGAGCTCCGTTTGCTCACTGCTCCAGGGGTCCACCACCCTCCCGATGATGACGAAACGCTTTATTGTGTTTCCTCTCTCCTCTTTCGCCTGTGTGTGTCATTCTAGCTCCTCCGAGCGGCCGGCAGATCGGCTCCCCGGTTCACATAATCCCTCAGTCTATACGCACGCCGCCCTCAGAAAAGGCCAAGAAAATGCCTCCCCCAACACCACCCAAACCCAGGCGACCAAGTTAGTACGGGCCACCCGGGGGGCGTGGCAGATGCCTGCTCGAGCTTGGTCCCCTCTCTCCTGTCTCCTCTCCTCCCCTCACCTTGGATGTGTCCTCTCAGGCACACCACCTCTGGCTCGTTGGCATGCGCTGGCGCTTTGCCCTCTGGGGCAGCTAAATCAACAGGAAGCTCAGATAGAGACCGGAAATGATGGGATGAAAGTGTGTATGAGTAAAAGTGAGAGTGTGAATGAGAGTAAGAGGAGGCTTAGACAAGTGTTGTGAATGCTGCTGCTGGTCTTGTTTTAACCGATGCAGAAAAAGAGCCACCATTCAGTGGTGGGACTGGACGATCACTTAACAGACGCTCAGCACAAAAGCACCACTTTTGATTGGATTCTGCTAATATTTATAATTTAATAATAATTCAGAATTTAACAAATTTAACCAAATCCCATAATTAATTAATTATTTTAAAAATATTAATGAAATAATTTAACAAAGTAACAAACTGGTTTAAATTAGGGCTGAAGATGTTACTCAATCAAAATTCTAGATTGTTTATTTTATTTTATTTTGTGTTAAATGTGTTATATCAGCCCTTGTTTAAACTGTTCACTTTAACCCAAACTGACATTTGATCTATTTTACACCTGCAATTTTTAAATCTCAAAATCAAGATGCCAGATCTTTATTTGGCATCAGAGAGCCAATGTCTGAGTGACCGTCTGGGTGTGTATTACAGTCATCTTCATCTCAGAGATCATCATCCTCATCCCATTGTCATTATGATCGTCGTCATCATCATCTCGGCAGTTGCTCGATTTGGCTGTGTCACTCTATATATATTAACTCAGAGAATGGGAATGCTTTGATTTTCTGTCTTAACATGATTTTCCTAACCGAAATATACAATTAAATAACTTTAACTCATTAATTATTCAATTAACACTACTTTTCCAATTTTTTTTCACATAACTTGATTTTGTTGACTTTTGTCTGCCTTTTTATCCAGCACTGGAAGAAACTGATTCTGGAAAAAGAAATTGTTTGATCAGATCTGAGAAAGCACTTAGGACTTAGCCAGACTGCTTTAATAGACGTTTTATTGCTCTAAAAGAGCTCATTAGTGAACTTGGTGTTAAACACCAAACCCCAACAGTAAGCCACATATTAAAAAAAATGTTTCATTCAAGCTGAATATTGTTAAAGTTTGGTATATCCTTCAAAGCTGGTTCTTTTATCTAATGGCAAATATTGTGTCTTTTTATAAGCTCTCGAAAACGCTGATCAGCTTGCCTGCAGTTTTCATTATATTGGTCTCACTACATTTCTAATGGGGTCTTTATGAAATTGCTAATTGCTTTGTCATAGGCTTTTAAAGGAAACATTCTTTCTTTGGTTGTTCTTCATTGCTCGTACCTTTGGCTGGGTCCATATGCATAACCAACTTTGACAACTTGTGAGATCAAGAATAACCGCTCTTTCTTCTTTGTAGCGAGTAACCCGAATGCCTGTCGGGCCATTGGGCGTGGCCTGCAGCCCAAGGGTGTGCGTGTGAAGGAGGTGGCCGACTTTAAGGTGTACACAAAGGGAGCAGGCAGTGGAGAACTACGTGTTCAAGTCAAAGGGCCAAGTATGCGTGCAACTGTTTTGACTGCAACAATGATTGTTGATTTTTCTGTTTTAATCAACTTTGCATCGTAAAATTAGTCAGCTGAATTAAATTTTGTATTTGCAGGAGGTGGCGATGAGCCTGTGAAGGTGCAAGACCTGGGAGACGGTGTGTACGAATGTGATTACTACCCCATTTTCACTGGAAAATACATTATCACCATTACTTGGGGTGGCCACGCCATTCCCCGTAGGTAAGGGTGCTTATAAACCTCCACCAGTTTACTGTGGTATCGTCTCATTTCTGTTTCTGAAAATATTCAAATCCTTTGACCATATTAAAAGGATCATACAGGATATGGAAGTGTTACTCCAGAAAGATATAATCTAGGAATTATGCCAATTATCATGAACAACCATCTCACTTCTGATCAAAACGTCTAAATGTGTGTAGCCCATTTGAGGTGATCATAAGTGAAGATGCAGGCTCTCAGAAGGTGAGGGCTTGGGGTCCAGGCCTGGAGACGGGCATTGTGGGCAAATCAGCTGACTTTGTGGTCGAGGCCATTGGCACTGAGGTTGGAACTCTGGGTAAGAATCTTCTTTAACATCATTGAGCCACTGTATCCAGGGATCTAGTGTTTATACAGATCTTCACAACTCTGGCCCTCAAGGTCCACTTTACTGCAGAGTTTAGCTCCATCCCTAATCAAACACACCTGGATAAGCTAAACAAGGCCTCCAGGGTTATGAGAAAGTTACAGGCAGGTGAGTTTGATCAAGTTTGGAGCTAAGCTCTGCAGAAAAGTAGACCTCGAGGGCTAGAACTATCAACCCTTGTTTTATGGTGTGATAAGATGCCTGGGTAATGGTTGAAAACTCATTCCATGCACAGGTTTCTCCATCGAAGGCCCCTCACAGGCTAAGATAGAGTGTGATGATAAGGGAGATGGATCTTGTGATGTTTTGTACTGGCCCACCGAGCCTGGTGACTATGCGGTCCATGTCATTTGTGATGATGAAGATATCAAAGACAGCCCCTTCATGGCCCACATCCTCCCTGCAGCCAATGACGTCTTCCCTGAGAAGGTCTGCCCTGTGATAATTGGCAATATTGATTGCACATTCGTTGGGAAAGGAAAACTTGAAATCGCATCATATGACCCCTTTAAATGACAGCTGTAACTAAACTAACTCATGTTTTTATGCAGGTTAAGTGCTACGGCCCTGGGCTAGAACCAACTGGGTGCATTGTAAACAAACCTGCAGAATTTACAATTGACTCCAGTGGAGCTGGAAGAGGACATCTACAGATTTACGCTCAGGTACATTTTCATTCAAGTCCCAGATGCCTCATGCCTCACTTTACTGGTACAAAAATGTTTTTGTCCATCTTTTATTCAAGGACTCAGAAGGCTTCCCCATCAACATCCAGATCACAGATAATGGTGACAGCACATATTTCTGCGTCTACATACCCACCAAGCCCATCAAACACACTATCATCATCACCTGGGGAGAGGTCAACGTTCCCAATAGTTCATTCAGGGTGAGAGCTCACTGTCAACAGGCAGACTTCAGCCAGTTGATGACATTTTTATTTTGCTGTTTGTCAAGAACTTTCAAAAACTGGATCTACTACAAGCTCAGCCTTTCAATGAAAGTTCATGACCATATTTTTCTGGTGTTAGATTTCAAAATTTCCATTTACATGACCATGTTAGATTATAGATTCCATATTGGATTATAACTTTACAAGAACCACTGTCCTCCAAAAGCTTTACATTTCTAGTTTTACAGTACTCTGGTCTTTCTACATTTCTCAGGTAACCATTGGAGAAGGCAGTCACCCAGAGAACGTGAAGGTTCATGGACCAGGAGTGGAGAAGACTGGCTTGAAGGCCAATGAACCCACATACTTTACTGTGGATTGCAGCGAGGCTGGACAAGGTCAGAGCAAACATGATTGCTACCATTATCCAAACGTGGTCAATTTATGGTCAAATTTGGAAATGGACGATGATTCCTTTTCTCCCATCTGTTCTGACACCTTAGGAGATGTCAGCATTGGGATTAAGTGTGCTCCTGGCGTGGTGGGACCTGCTGAAGCAGATATTGATTTTGACATCATTAAAAATGACAATGACACATTCACAGTGAAGTATACACCTCCTGGAGCTGGACGCTACACCATCATGGTGCTATTTGCTGATCAAGTGAGTCTCAGTCAATAATATCACATTTTTCTCTATACAATTTGAGGCCTATAAATGCATTTTTTCATGAATTAACAGGAAATTCCAATTAGCCCCTTCCGTATCAAAGTCGATCCATCCCATGATGCCAATAAGGTGAAAGCAGAGGGTCCTGGACTCAACAAGACCGGTCAGTTTGATTGTCAGTGACAGAAATGATAAAAAAGTAAGTAAAGACAGCTCATCTCATCTCATCTGCATGTTATGTGTCTCTGTCACAGGTGTGGAAGTGGGCAAGCCGACCCACTTCACCATCTACACTAAAGGAGCAGGCAAGGCCACGCCTGAGGTTCACTTCACCACAGCTGGGAAAGGAGAAGCCGTCAGTGACTTTGAGATCATTGATAACCACGACTATTCTTTCACTGTGCGTTACACTGCATTACAGCAGGTGAGACACTCCAACACTGGGTTGCTGTTCTTATAAATAGACACCAAGAGGTCACATGATATTATGACTATTATAAATTCTATCTTGCTCAGTCCTGTATGTTTTGTGATTCAGGGTAACATGAGCATATCTGTGTGCCATGGCGGTGACCCCATCCCCAAAAGCCCTTTTACCATCACTGTTGCTCCTCCTTTGGATATCAACAAGGTCAAAGTTCAAGGACTCAACAACAGTAAGTCCACAGCAGTTTGTGTGTGAAATAAAAATGGTAGCTGTGTTGATTGTATTTATTGTGCGTATTTTGTGTGCCTGTGTGTTTAGTTGCTCCTCCTTTGGATATCAACAAGGTCAAAGGTCAAGGACTCAACAACAGTAAGTCCACAGCAGTTTGTGTGTGAAATAAAAATGGTAGCTGTGTTGATTGTATTTATTGTGCGTATTTTGTGTGCCTGTGTGTTTAGAAGTGGATGTAGGGAAAGATGAGGAGTTTACCATTAATGCACGCGGCGCAGGAGGTCAAGGAAAGGTGGACGTCAAGATTACCTCACCTTCTCGCCGACCAATCCCTTGCAAGGTTGAATCTGGAGCATCCAATGAGGTGCACACTGTTAAGTATATTCCCCCCGAAGAGGGGCCCTACAAAGTGGACATCAGCTATGATGGAAACCCCGTGCCTGGAAGTCCTTTCACGGTGGAGGGAGTGATGCCTCCAGATCCCTCAAAGGTAAGAGTCACAAATAGGAGAATGTGATTAATTTGTTTACCCGTCATTGTCATATTGAACTGAATTTTCATGATTACTGCAAATACTTTCGATTGGAAAACATTTTCTAACTAAGTGATCTCATTAGAGATACAGGCTTGACATTTCAAGTCATTCATGGATTCTTTCTAAAGCTGAGGGCTGCAAACATACTAAGAGCTGGCTGTGATGATAAAGCTCTCCATATGAGGAGAAACATGGAATGTATTTTAGGAGTAACAAGAGAAATTGGACTGTACCGTGCAATCCTTACCTCACAAATCAGAAAGACCTTCAGAGAGTTTATGAGCCACTTACCAGAGTCAGAATGTTCAAACTAAACTAGAGCCAGATTTTATGAAACAACTTTTCTTAAACCTCCGTGCAACGAAATTTCCTGTTTGTAGAGGTTTACTCCAGGAACGCTGGTTCCAAAGTCAAACTATTTAATTTAATTTAATTTAATTTAATTTAATTTTTGTTTGTTGCCTGTTGTCTACAGGGCTGAATTGTTCCAGTGAGGGTTTTTCTTCTCCTTGAGCCAGATGCTCTAGTTAGTATATTAGCTCTGTCAATGAAGAAGCCTAAAACAAACACAAAAGGCCATTTAGCCATTGTGGGAAATTATTACAGGAGGACAGTTGTGTTTAATTAATCTGTCAGGGAAAGGTGAACTCAAATGTAGTGTGCCAAACAAGGTACTTTATCTACATGTGGAATGGCTGCTCCATTCTCTGTCACTGGGCCAAGGTGTCAGTGAGAATCATTAGATAGCTGGTCTGTACATTACTGAAACAGATACAGATCTCTGGCCATAAATGGATACGGATGATGAAGGCCGCCCGGCTCTGAAAAATGTTGAACTGTCCTCTAGTACTGTTAAAGCATGTTGGACTGTTGAATTATTGAAATTTCAATGCACACCTGGAGTGGCCATTTCACCTTAGATGTACATCAATTTTTAATATTCCAGAGTTCTGTAATCAGTTATTCTGCTTTCCACGTGTACCACATGTATAATTTAAATATATTATAGTATTAAATTTTCTGGTTCTCTTTCAGGTTGTATGACTTTTTTAAATTTCTGATTAGAATTCCATTTTGATTTGTTATTGAAACGCAATTTCACCATAGTTTTGTCTTACTTTCACTTCAAGGTGCGAGCCAACGGCCCTGGCCTGAAGGGAGGTATTGTGGGTAAACCCGCTCCATTTGCCATCGACACCAAAGGTGCAGGTACAGGGGGTCTCGGGCTGACTGTGGAGGGCCCGTGTGAAGCCAAGATCGAGTGCCAGGACAACGGCGACGGATCTTGCTCAGTGTCCTATCTGCCCACTGAGCCTGGAGAGTATTCCATTAACATCATGTTTGCTGATGCTCACATCCCTGGTTCTCCATTCAAAGCCATGGTTCAGTCTGTCTTTGACCCCAGCAAGGTCACAGCTAGCGGACCAGGGCTGGAGAGAGGAAAGGTCAACGAAGCGGCGTCGTTCACGGTGGACTGCTCTAAAGCAGGCGAGGCGGAGTTGACCATCGAAATTATTTCAGATTCAGGAGCGCAGGCTGAGGTTCATGTGCAGAATAACAGCGATGGAACATATTCTATCACCTACATTCCTCCTTTCCACGGAATGTACACCATCACGATTAAATATGGAGGACATGCAGTGCCGAAGTTCCCTGCAAGGGTGCAGGTAGATCCTGCTCTCGATACCAGCGGAATCAAGGTCTACGGTCCAGGAGTGGAACCCAGAGGTAAGAAGGCCCATCTAATTGTGCTTGTGTTTAGTACCAATGTGCTCAGCAATGTGCTTCAAAACTTGGTATATTTTCACAGGGGTACTCCGAGAGGTCACTACACACTTTGTCGTTGACACTCGGGTTCACAGCAAGATGGGTGGAAACCACATCAAAGTTCGTATTGTTAACCCATCAGGTGCCAACACTGATGCGTTCACCACCGACAAAGGAGATGGCACTTACAGAGTGGAATATACAGCATATGAGGATGGTAAGATATTCAGTACATAGGGAAAAAAGACTTATGTTTTTTGCTGAATTGATTTTTCATTGGGATGAAACACACAAACATTTTTAGTGATTAAATTAAATTAAAATTTACATTAAACAAAAATGGCTATATTACAGTAATCGGATTACAAATAAAAACTAAAATAAAAGCCCTCAAAAAATTCCAGTCATCTAATTTATTTATTTTCTTTTGCATATTCTTGGGCATATTCTTAATGGGTTTTTTAAGCTTGACTCTTTTGGTGTCCATTACTTTGGAAGTTACAGTTGTTTTAGCACATTTATTGTCCATGAGACAGAAAGATCAAATTATCAATAGTACTAGAAATTGTAAAAAGTGAAAATCCGCAATCCAGGGGCCTGTAGGCAGTAAAACCAGACCAGGCCATAATTCTGTCTTTCTCTCTGTCAGAAAAATGTTATTCATGCACTTTGGGTTGACAGGATAACTGAAGATTATTTAGTTTACGTAAAGTCTGTTATTTTCTTACTTCATGCTGACTGAAGCCGTCCTGTTTCCGCCCCAGTCTTCATTAATTTAACAGGCCATGTTGGCATTTTTTCTGAACTGAACCTCCCTTTCCTCCCTGAGAATCATGAGGCACACACACTCAGAGCTGTCTTTTATTCTGAGCACGGCTGCTGTATTGATTTTTCTGTGTGGAGGTCAATGTTGTGAGATGAAAATTCATTCATTGTTCATTGTGTTTTGAGCAGAGACTGCTGATGTCTGTTTTCCCATGATGCCTTGATAATATTCCTTCACAATTATCGATTGAGAGAAAAAAAACCCCTGTCCCTCTCTGTATAGTCACACACTCTTCCTATCAAAGAAGGCAGTTCTTAGACAGGATAAGATGCACTGAGGCACCCTTACAGCCAGCCAATCAAATTAGAGCTTGCCAGAATGAGAAAGTACTTTCCAGCATAATATTTATAGATGAAAGAGTGCTGTAATCTTTGTCTTTGTGCAGGTGTGCATCTGTTAGAGGTGCTGTATGATGACGTACCTGTCCCCAAGAGCCCGTTTAGGGTGGCGGTAACCGAAGGTTGTGATCCCAGCCGTGTACGTGCCTACGGTCCCGGTCTGGAAGAGGGTCTGGTCAACAAACCCAACCGCTTCACTGTGGAAACCAGGTACATATTTCTATGAAAACCTGCTGTTGAACATGAACGTGTTCTGGAATGGTCTATTTTGGAAACGTTGAGTCAAAAACAATAAGTCTGAAATAGCTTCTATGAGCAGTTGTTTTATGTAATCGCAGACTCTTTTTAAATAGTTCGGATATTGAAAAAAAACCTCACCAACCATTCAATGCCATTCACTGAGAGTGACGAAAATTTAGCAGTGAACCCTATTATATGAATAGTTTTGGTGTAAAACAAATCTGCTTTACTAGTTTAAACATTGGTGCTTACATGTTTTGGACTGGATTTGAACAGAGCTGAATATAAGTACATAACTATTTTTAGATTTTACTGTAACTTATGTTTTCTCCCATGTCTGTATTTTCTTCTCTTTCAGGGGTGCTGGCACGGGTGGTCTTGGATTGGCTATCGAGGGTCCATCAGAAGCTAAGATGTCTTGTAAAGATAACAAAGATGGCAGCTGTAGCGTGGAGTATATTCCTTTCACTCCTGGAGAATATGACGTCAACATCACTTTCGGAGGTCTGCCTATCCCAGGTATGATGTAATTTTTTTCTGTCTAACTCATTCCATGGTTTGTTTCTAATTGAACTCAACACACTAATTATGCATTAACATTGAATTTCATCAGTTTGAGAATATGAGTGTTAAGACGTCTGAAAGCTAATAATCATGACAGATTGAGTTAATGCTCGAATATTTCATACCTCAGGGTCTGTTTTTGCATTTTATGAAGAAAAAGCAACTGTACAATTTCTGTGGGTTTTTAGGTAGTCCATTCAGGGTGCCTGTGAGGGAGCTGGTGGATCCTAGTAAGGTGAAGTGTTCTGGTCCTGGTTTGGGCAGTGGAGTTAGAGCCCACGTTCCTCAGACCTTCACCGTGGACTGCAGCAAAGCTGGACTCGCCCCACTGGAGGTGCTGCTGTATGGACCTACAGGTGAAACTAGACTGGAAAAACACACACAGAGTTTGGACAAAGTCCTTGAAGTATATAAGTGCAATTTAGGTTTTAGAAATGTAAGTACTAGAATACCAGGAAGACTGGCTTAAAATGTTAACAGAATATATGTGTGTTTAGCAAACCTGAGAAAGTGGTTTAAATGCATATTGATTTTTAATATCTATAAATCATAAGTGATTTAGCAGTGTTCCCCTCTCAGCATTTAATGTTGCCATGTTCAAAGCTTTTAAACTACATGTTTTAATGGAACTTTGGTGGCTTTTGGATTTATTAAATAGCTTTTATACGTCCAATGAACTTTTAGTATTGTACACTACTTTTCAAAAAGTAAGATTTTTTTTTTAAGGAAATTAATTTAGCTGGGATGGATTAAATTGATCAAAAGTGACAGCAAAAACACTTATAAAGTAATGAAAGATTTCAAATTCAAATGCTGTTCTTTTGAAATTTAAAAGAATCCTGAAAAAATGTATCAAGGTTTCCACGAAATGTTAAGAAGCACAACTGCTATTCAGCATAAATAATAAAAAGAAATCATTCTTGAGCACCAAATCAGCATATTAAAATGATTTCGGAAGGATCATGTGACACTGAAGTCTAGAGCAATGATGCTGAAAATTCAGCTTTTTCATCACAGGAATAAATTACGTTTTAAATATATTAAATTAGAAAACAGTTATTTAAATTGTAATAACATTTCACAATATTAAAGTATTTTTGATCAAATAAACAAAGCCTTGGTGAGCATAAGAGACTTCATTTAAAAACACTACAAAAATTTACTGACCCCAAATTTTTGAACAGTAATGTACATTAAAAATGCAAATCATATTTAGGTTATAAATGACTGTAAGTGAAGGGACACAAAAACCATAGCTATAGTTCCACGTTTGTACATTAGTTTGTGATGACCTTGAAAATGACAAACTGGTGCTGGAAAAAGTCCTGGATTTGCATTCAGTGATGCCCATATTTAGCCTGCAGACACATTCATCAAGAGTGTTTTACAGTTGTCTAGACTAGATGACAGGCACGCAGAGAGATCAACTGTGTTGTTTTTCTAGGTGTGACAGAGCCAGTGAATATCACAGACAATGGTGATGGCACACACACGGTGATCTACACTCCTACTAAAGATGGACCGTACACTGTGTGTGTCAAATATGCAGACCAAGAAGTGCCACGCAGGTAAGCGGGCTGCTTAATGAATTAATAAAGTCTTAATATTAATGAAGTGAATAGACCAGGGTTCCTCAAATCTTGCCCTGGAGGTCCAATGCGCTGCAGAGTTTAGCTCCAACCCTGATCAAACTCACCTACCTGTGATTTTCTAATGATCCTGAAGACATTGATTAGCATGCTCAGGTGTGTTTGATTAGGGTTAGAGCTAAACTCTGCAGGAAAGTGGATCTCGTGGGCCAGATTTGAGGAGCCCTGGAATAGACTATGACTAAAATCTTCAGAGCTGATTTAGAAAGAAGAACACTTCCAAATAAAAGAAGCATGTGATGATTACATGTGTTTGTTCTTCTGTTTTCCCCTTTTTAGTTCATTTAAGATCAAGGTGTTGCCTGCTCATGATGCCAGTAAAGTCCGTGCCAGCGGTCCTGGACTGAACACTTCCGGGGTTCCCGCCAGCCTGCCGGTGGAGTTCACCATCGATGCCCGTGACGCAGGCGAGGGTCTTCTTACTGTACAGATACTGGTGAGTAACATCAACACTCGCTCAGGCCTCTCTCTCTTTTTTTTTTTACATGTTTTAAGACAGAGGTTTCCCTTGATGATCACATGTGCTTTAATGGCCACTGTCCCCCCTCCGCTTCCCTCTGCCCTGACCTCTGACCCCTTCCCTGCTGTCACTGTAGGGTCCAGATGGGTGCAGGCAAGAGGCCTCTGTGTTTGTGGAGGACTGGGGTAGGAGGGTGTGGGAGAACCACATTGTAAAGGGCACCATCCCCTTCCATATTCTTAGGAAAGGATGTGTAAGGCGGCCCCTCCTTTCGGCCTCCTCTTGTTGTTATAACTCACCATGTCTGGCATCCCTCCCATTAGCCTTGGGCCCCTAAGTGCTCATGGATCGTCCCCTTGCTACTGTACTCCCTGCCCCAGTTCCCCTGCTCCTTTGGCTGCTTTTCTCCTTAATTGTTCCCTAGTTTTGCCTTTGTTATCCCCTAGTTCTGAATTCATTCCCTAATAATGCCTTTGTTCTATCTGTCTATCTGTTTGTCTGTCTGTCTGTCTGTCTATCTATATGTCTATCTGTCTGTCTGTCTCTCTCTTTTCACGTCACTTTTTGTGTCCTCATGGTTCATACCACATTCCTTTGACACTGAAGTGCCAGAAGTGACTTGGGAATTGTAATTTCTTGAGGGTGATCGTTGTTTTTTTTAATAATCATACTACTTTCCATTTTGAAAAAGAAGGGAGAAAACTTCACTCAAACCAAAACCAAACTGCACACATGCAAAAGCATCCAGAAACATCTTTGTCTTGCACAAAAGTAGCGTTTTTGAATGTGAGAGTGAACCTTTCTCCCAGGCAGCCATACTTGATCATTTTGTAACAGTCAAGGGGACTTGATACCCTTAATGTTGCCCTTTAGTGGTCTCTGTGGACTGACTTGTCATTAGATTTAGGCTAAAACCCTACATGTGGTTTTCCACTACATGACTAACAGTCAGAGATGCTTGCTATGTAATCTGTATGAGGAATATTGCCTTGTTGAGTACTGGCTACATTTATTTCAGCAATTAGTTAAAACGTTGTTGTATTCAAATGAGAAATTGGATTTCTGTATGCAGGCTCACAAGAGCCAATGAATATATAGACACACATGCATTCACATTTGCATGAACACGCTATAACAACTCATTCATTTTGCAGGACCCAGAAGGAAAACCAAAGAAAGCAAACATTCGAGATAACAGAGACGGAACATACACCGTGTCCTACGTCCCAGATATGACAGGACGCTACACTATTACAATCAAATATGGCGGAGATGAGATCCCATACTCCCCCTACCGCATACATGCTCTGCCCAGTGGAGATGCCAGCAAATGTCTTGTGACAGGTAAGTTGTAGACGTCTATGTTACACATGTCTCTATGTGACTTATTGCTTCCTTAAAATGCAATCTCAGCATGATCATCATGAATTCTAACAGCTCTTCTTTTTGATTTGTAGTGTCGATTGGTGGACACGGATTGGGTGAGTTTTTTGAAAAAATCATCAGTTACCTATATTGAACTTTTGCAAGCCTTTTATGTAGGATCAGTTTAGGCCATTCTTTGTCACTGAGATGAATGGCAAAAAGTGGCCCAGTGTACATGAATTCAGACAATAACTCTCTGAATGGTGTAGTAAAACAGCTTTGTTGTGATTGCGGTCCCATGGACAGGCTCTGGGCTCGGACCTACTATTCAAATCGGCGAGGAGACCGTTATCACTGTGGATACAAAGGCTGCTGGGAAGGGGAAGGTCACCTGCAAAGTGTCAACTCCAGACGGGGCGGAGCTAGACGTGGATGTGGTGGAGAACGCGGACGGGACATTTGATATCTATTATACCGCTCCAGAACCTGGGAAATACGTCATCACCATCCGCTTTGGAGGAGAGCACATTCCTAACAGCCCCTTCCATGTGGTGGTGAGCACCTTCTGTTGCTATGCAGTATGAATATTGATTTTTGCATATCACAATAATAATTATTTTGTATATATTTGTGAATGTACACTACCATTCAAAAGTTTGGGGTTGCTGAGTTTTTTTTATTGTTTTTGAAAGAATTCTCTTATGCTCAGCAAGTCTGCATTTATTTGATCAAAAATACAGTAAAACAGTAATATTCTGAAATATTATTGCAATTTAAAATAACTGTTTTCTATTTGAATATATTTTAAAATGTAATTTATTCCTGTGATGCAAAGCTGAAATTTCAGCATCGTTAATCCAGTCTTCAGTGTCACATGATCCTTAGAAATCATTCTAATATGTTTATTTAATGCTCAAGAGACATTCCTTATTATTATCATTGTTGAAAACAGTTGTGCTGCCTAATGTTTTCTGTAGAAAATAAGATTTTTCCCCCCAAGATTCCTTATGAATAAACATTCAAAATAACAACAATTATTTTAAATACATCATTTTTGTAACAATGTAAAAGTATTTACTGTTACTTTTGATCAATTTGATGCATCCTTGCTGGTGCTAAATATTAAAATAAAAAAAAATTACTGACCCCAGACTTTGAACAGTAGTGTATGTTATATTTGTATTGTTTTTTTATGCAGATGATCATAAATAATTTCAAAATATGGCTACCAGTGCATGGTGTGTTTTTACAAAATAATAATTCTCCCAAATAAAAACCTTTTTGTACCTCATTCATTGAGATGATGTTTAACTTAGCAATTCAATTCCAGTTCAATGGGTCAAATTGAATTAGCTGCATGTAAATGTGTGTTGTGTGAAGCCCTAAACATGTGACCACCTCCTTCTCCAGGCATCTGATACCATCCCTATAATTGAGGAACCATGTGATAAACTACAGTTACAGCAGCCCTACGCCCCCTACCAGGGCTACACCCCTCACTGGGTACACACCACCCCTAGTCATCAGATAACGTCCTAAACGCTCTCTGCTCCTCAGCCTTTGTCATTACACCTTTTCATTTCATCCATCTTTGCTTCATTTCCCATGAGATTTACTGCTGATGTCTTTTTTATTAAACGGCTAGTTGGCTGATCATGCATTCATAGAGTTAATGAATAGGTTGCTGATCTCCTATTGCAGAGGGATTGTTTTGCACTAGGTTCTTTGTTGCTGCTGCTTTTATGAATTTATTCCATCTACTGCAGTCCAACCAGCCTGGGCCCTTGTCTGTTTTTCGTTTTCCAGCCATTAACCCATTGCATGCACTTATATCTTCTCACTGTACTTAGTTAGCAGTGCAGTGATGCTGAAATCTCTTTCTCTTCTAGGCCACGGAGGAACCAGTCACTGCAGTGGACGCCATGGAGCCAATGCTTCGCCCGTTCAATCTGGTCATTCCATTTACTGTACAAAAGGGGGAGATTACAGGTATTAACACTTATTAAACAAATAAAAAAGTAGATAATTATTAGAGGTGCAATGAAGCGTGCATCTTTTTCACAGAGGCCTACAGAATTCATTATTTTAAAAGATGGCATTTTGTTTTTTTGTTTTTTTTAGGTGAGGTACATATGTCCTCTGGTAAAACCGCCCGTCCTCACATCACTGATAACAAGGACGGGACTGTGACGGTCAAATATGCCCCCACCGAGAAGGGCCTACATGAGATGGACATCAAATATGATGGGAATCACATTCCAGGTATCAAAACAATTAGATGCCTGCTGCTCTAAAATCTGTAAATGTAATAATTATGCTATAATTGGTCTCTTAAATCAATTCTGTGTTTGACGTTGATCATCTTTAAACATGAAGTGACACTCTTTTAACATTGCCTTTACAGGAAGTCCACTGCAGTTCTATGTAGATGCCATTAACAGCGGGCATGTGAATGCATATGGCCCTGGTCTGAGTCATGGCATGGTCAACAAATCCGCCACCTTCACAATCGTCACTAAGGATGCTGGAGAAGGTAATACACACACACCAAGCCTGGCGGCCTCACAGCCACATTGCATTAGTTTCACATTGCCAGACTTTTGACTTCTCACATTGCTCTTTCATCTTCTCTCAGGTGGTCTGTCTTTGGCAGTGGAAGGCCCCTCTAAGGCAGAGATCAGCTGTAAGGATAATAAAGATGGCACCTGCACTGTGTCCTACCTGCCAACAGCCCCAGGAGACTATAATATAATCGTCAAGTTTGATGACAAGCACATCGCTGGAAGCCCCTTTACAGCCAAGATCACAGGTAGGGGTTTATATGTGCCCAAATATGGGTATGAGTGAGAGAGAGAGGATGAACAAGAGAGGGCAAAGTTATGTCTCTCCATAACGTCTGTGAATCACTAAATTAGCTGTCGTGTGTGTTTATGTGTGTGCGCGTGCCTTCACACCTGGAGAATTTAACCGCATCTGAAGTGCTTCTAAAAGTAGGAGCCACTTCCTGACAGTTTTTAGAAACAGGAAGTATCTGTTTCCCCCCTCCTTCTGTCTCACTCTCACTTTGCCCCTCACAACATTGCTCTTCGCAAACAGAACTGGGGTTGCACCCGCACAGTAAATGTTTAATTTTTAATTTTTAATAACTGGATCATATTTGTTAGTTGTGTGTATATATATATATATACACGCGCACACACACATATTTCTGTCTCATTCTTAATGAAGGTGATGACTCCATGAGGACATCCCAGCTGAACGTTGGCACGGCCACAGACGTGTCACTGAAGATCACAGAGACGGACCTGAGCTCCCTGACCGCGAGCATCAGAGCCCCATCTGGCAACGAGGAGCCCTGCCTGCTGAAGAGACTGCCAAACCGCCACATTGGTTAGTCACTCGTCAGGCCTGCCAGCACCTACATACGTCACGACTGAGCGGATAAAGCAGAATATAAATAAGCCAGATCATATTATTTGTGAATGGATTCAGTTACTTTGGGTTTTTAAAGACCCCACATTGAATTTCCAACAGGAAGTTCAGGTAGGACTTATCGAAATTTGTGTACACCCCTGCAAACAAGACGAGTCACCAATATTTAGGTTCATTTTCCCAGAAGACTGAGACTGTGAAAGTAATTATACCACTTTTAGAGACTAGATAAACTTATACGGTTTTTCATAATAAGAAAGTCTTAGTCCTCTGACTGATGTCAGCAATCAAACTCTGAAACTTTCTGATGAGGTGATGCCTGTAGTGTTTGCCTCTAAAACCTAATTTGAGACTAAGAGCTCCTTCCTGTGATTTCAAAGAGAATCGACTATCAGCTCAGAAAAGGCTTTTGATGTACAGCCAAACCCTGAGGCCTATCTTTTTTGCTGGATATGACGGTGCTACCATAAAATACTCTATAAACCTGAAAAAAGAACTCATTCCCATTGCTCTTTTCCTTCAGGAATATCCTTCACTCCTAAAGAGGTGGGTGAGCATGTGGTCAGCGTGAAGAAGAATGGAAAACACGTGACCAACAGCCCATTCAAGATCATGGTGGGCCAGTCTGAGATCGGAGATGCCAGTAAGGTGAAGGTGTTTGGGAAAGGACTGATAGAAGGACACACCTTTGAAGTGGCTGAGTTCATCGTGGACACCAGAAGTGCAGGTAAATGGTATTCTAGGATATTTGTGGCTTCCATAATGTACAGTACAGTAAAATGGACCGTTTTTTTTGGCAGCTAAATTCTGAACATTTATCTAGCAACTTTCGTATGACCAATTTGAAAAGACAGAACACGCAAGAAACCTTCATCCACCACTGGATACCTTCCTTGGGCCAAGTGCGTGGACCTTACAAAACCATGCAAAATATGCATGGCGAACTTTTCGAAATTTCGCAGAGCAACAGTAAAAACCTTAAGCCTGAAGTATACTTCAGTATACTTTTTACACAAACGCTTAGCGTTATCTGTATGCATGTGTAAATTTATGTCATGCGTACTGTATGTATACACTAGCGTGTGTGTAAAAATCAAAGTGTACTAGCTCTGCTTTTCCTAACTGAACTTGAAATCGCATCATATGACCCCTTTAAATCATAAAACCCACTTGGTTACCTTAGGTTATGGAGGTCTCGGTCTGTCCATCGAGGGGCCCAGCAAAGTTGACATTAACTGTTCGGATGTGGACGACGGAACATGCAAAGTGACCTACTGCCCAACCGAACCCGGAACTTACATCATCAACATCAAATTCGCCGACCAACATGTGCCAGGTACAGCACAGCTCTTAAACTTAAGTCTCTTTAAGATGCCTCTCTTCTGAGGTGGACGACTCCTTTAAACTCTTTATGTTGTTCCACAGGAAGTCCATTTACAGTGAAGGTTCTGGGTGAGGGAAGAATGAAGGAGAGTATCACCAGAAAGAGGCAGGCGCCCTCTATTGCCACGGTGGGCAGCACTTGCGACCTCAACCTCAAGATTCCAGGTGAGGAGAGAATGATTGACTCCCGTGGCCTCACGGGATAGTATAGTGTCCATCAGATGCGCACTTCAGAATCTCACCGAAAGTGTTTTCGCCTACTGTTCTATGAATTGACATACTACTATTTTCCGCCTACTACTATAGGCATATTCAGACATAGAGTTTGTCTCTTTTTCCCACCTGTTTCCCACTGTCACACGTGTCACTTCCTGTGTCTTGAATTAGAGTGGTTCTGTATGAAGTTATATAGAATTTAAGTTTTGATAAAAAAAAAGAAAGAATACAGAATGTTTCCATTCTGCTTGGAAGCATGCATTTCCTGTTTCTCCTTTTTCATCGCTTCCTTTCTTCTTCCTTCTTCTCTTTCCTTCCTCTGTCTTTCGGGTTCCACGTCTGTAGGGAACTGGTTTCAGATGGTTTCGGCCCAAGAGCGACTCACCCGTACCTTCACACGCAGCAGCCACACCTACACGTGTACGGAGCGCACCGAGATCAGCAAGACCCGTGCTGGCGAGACCAAACGGGAAGTGCGGGTGGAAGAGAGCACCCAGGTGGGGGGTGATCCCTTCAGGGATGTTTTCGGTGGATTTCTGGGCAGGGAGAAGCTGGGACCCTTCAGCAGTGCCCAGGGCCGACAATCAGAGGGTGTGTGTGCGTGTTTGTTTGTGTTGTTTGCAGGTTAAAGGGATCATTTAGGTCCTATACATATATATATGTGACCCTGGACCACAAAATCAGTCTTAAGTCACTTGGGTATATTTTTAGCAATAGCCAAAAAAACACTGTATGGGTCAGAATTATCGATTTTTCTTATATGCCACAAATCATTAGGATATTAAGTAAAGATCATGTTCCATGAAGATATTTTGTAAATTTCCTACCGTAAATATATCAAAACTTAATTTTTGATTAGTAATATGCATTGCTAAGAACTTCATTTGGACAACTTTAAAGGCGATTTTCTCAATATTTTGATATTTTTGCACCCTCAGATTCCAGATTTCCAAATAGTTGTATCTCGACCAAATATCCTATCCTAACAAACCATACATCAATGATAAGATTATTTATTCAGCTTTCAGATGATGCATAAATCTCAATT